CTTTAATCCATTTCAATTTTAGTTTAATGCATGGTGGGAAATATAGGTCTAGTTTTAGTCTTTGGCAAGTTGAAATCCAATTTTTCCAGCACCATTTATTAAAGAGACTATCTTTCCTCCAGCGAGGGTGTTTGGCTCCTTTGTCAAAGATGAGGTGGCTGAGTGTGTCTGGCGTTGTTTCTGCATCTTCTATTCTCTCCCACTGGTCTTCAGGTCTGTTTCTTTGCCAGTACCATGCTGTTTTTATCACGGTAGCTTTGTAGTATAGTTTCAAGTTGGTGGTTGAAATACCCCTGCCATGTCTCTGTTACCTAGAATTGCTTTTGATATTCTGGGTCTCTTCTTCTTCCAAATGAATTTTTGGATTGTTTTCTCAAGCTCTATGAAGTATGCTGCTGGGATTTCAATTGGGATTGCATTGAATCTATATAGCAATTTGGAAGTATAGACATTTTCACTATGTTGACCCTTCCTACCCAGGAGCAAGGGATGTCTTTCCATTTTCTGATATTCCCTTCAATCTCTTTTTTCAAAGTGGTATAGCTTTCAGAGAAGAGGTCTTTGATTTCTTTTGTTAGGTTGATTGGGGAAGTACATTTTGTGAGAAAACTTGTCTTAAATTGCAGGAGAATAAAAAGTATAAACAAGTAAGTCACCCATTACTTCTACCATTCAGAGGACCTGTCAACTATGATGTTTTAAAATGACAAAACAGAGTTTGAGGTGGGAGAGTGGTTTCAGTTTCAGTGAGATAGTAATTAGTCGTGTCTCATTTAAAGAGGAGGACTTTTAACAGAAGAACAAGTCTTCAAAACACATGGACTCTAGAAACTTTCAGTGCTTGAAGCTCCAGGAAGGGAAGAAAATAATGCATTCCTGATTTTAGAAGATAAAAGTACTGAAAATTTGAACTTAAAAGTTGTCACACTAATGCAGAATTAAACTATGAAATTAGGTGAAATTAAACCAGTTCCACCCATCTACCTAATTTTTTTTCTGTAGATCTATCTGAAAAATCTCAAAGCTTTACCAGGACAAGCAACTTTGCCAGAACATAGAATGCTTCCCTTTACCAGTGTGAACCAGCTTGCATCAGTGGATTATTTTGTGCAGGAAAAGGCCTTGTACCTTTCTGAGTTGAATAATGGTGATATCAGGCTACTGAGGCTTAAAGAATCTGGGACACTTTCTTGGAGGAAACTCATATCAGTGGAGGGGTCTGTGATCAACCTTGCTGTGGACTGGCTCAGTGGAAACATATATTGGATTGACAGTGAGAATCCCCACATCAATGTAGCTTCCTCAAAAGGCCAGTATCCCATTGTCTTGCTCCATGAAAATCTTGCCCGCCCAGCCTCTGTTGTTCTGCACCCACCTGCTGCAGCCATGTGCTTCGTGGATCTGGGTCCCTGGAATGATGGCAGTCATGGGTCCAGCATTGAATGTGCCGCTATGGATGGCAGTGGGAGAAAGGTGCTATGGCAGAAGTCCCAGCTGCCTGTGGGCCTGGCATTTTCAGATTCAGGGACTCGACTGTACTGGGCTGATTCTGGTGAGCTGCTGTTATCCACATTCTAAACATGAACTTGAGAGACCTTGAGCCAAAGTGAAATACTGAAGTTGTACACTCTGGTCTTCAGCAATAGCTTCAAATAGATTTCAGGCCCATGTTTACATTTTCTGCCAACATATTTCACACAAATACAACCTTTTCCTATCCTATATAGCATGTTATGACCCACAGAGTTATGCTGTTGCCCCTTTGTAAAGAAATATAATTGAGAACATGTGCATGAATAAACCTTTGTAAATTTATGTTAGAGAGGAGTTAATGAAGCAGAACTGGCTTCAGAGAATGCATGGGAGATAGTGACCTCTTGGAGGTGAGGCAGGACAAGACAAAAAGAGCTGTAGCTGTTTGGAATAAATGAAATTAACTGAACCTCTCTTCCTAGGGCGAGGACTCATAGAAAGCATTCAGCAAGATGGCTCCAGACACAGAGTAGATCACAGAGGAATTCGGGGACTTAACCTCTTTACATGTGGTCAAGGCATGATGTTCTGGACAACAGTTGATGATAGTAGGTCTTGATTCTATATCTGATTGTCTTTGCAATCTGAATTTACTCCTGATAATCCAAAAAGCACCTGCTACTGCTTAGGAAGTGTCTTTGGAAGTGGCTTTCCTTGGAAGTATAACTAAACAACTTCCCAAACTTGAAAAAGAATATATAACAGTGACTCTTTGACTTACTTGCTTATTATTCTTTATATGAATAGATTTATGCATTTTTAAAATCTCTGGCTTTCATATGAGTCTTTCTGCTTTCAAAGACACCATGATTTCATTAGCTTTCTGTTAGTGTGTTAGAGAGCCTGTGATAGTCAAATTGAAAGGAGGAAAAGTTTATTTTGGTTCACAGTTTCATAGATCTCAATCTATGGTTGCTTAGTCTGGTTGTCTCTGGGCCTGGTGAGACAGTCCATCATGGTGGGAGCATGTGGCAGAGGAAGTTGCTCATACATGGCAACCAGAAAGCAAAAAGAGAGGAAGAGTAGAGGCCAAGGGTTCACATTTTTAAAGTTCTAATAAGCTGAAGACTAAGCCTTCAACACACAGGCCTTTGAGGAATACTTATCCAAACTATCATAATGGTATAGTACAGAGAGTACAAGGCCAGGGATTGTATTGGAACTTAGTGGTATACCTGCTCTGTCAGTTTGTAGCTGAAACACCTTACCTGTAAAATGACAACAGTGCCTGTCTTAGTCAAATAAATACACGTGAAACCACTAGCTGAATTATAGAGTATTCCAGTATGGCATTTTTGACATTTCAAAGGGATTGTCCTATGTGACAGTATTCTAGTATATTATTACGTGTATACTAGATTTCTGTGTATAAATTTCTGACCACATGCAGACTTAAGAAAACTAGAAAATGATGCTTAAAATACATGTCTCTTTATATTTTCAAATGCCTACTCCTGAGATGTTAATATGCTAGATGTATGGTGAAACCTTTGTCATCTATTCTAAGATCCACCGATAACTCTTGTTCCAGATAAGCCATTTCCAAAAATACTGTACTAGAATATTATTTTAAAACGTTACTCATTCATTGCATGGACCAAATCTAACTAGCATATATCTTCTTTTCCTGTTTGAACATAAAAGAATATTCTAGACATAGCTTATTAACATATGATTTTATTTATAGGAAAGTATATCATAGTTTTAATTTCTTTTGGGATTTCTCCTCACAAACAAGATTTCGAAAACTACATGTATATCTATTCTATAAAAGTCTAGTTATTCATCTAGAATTTAGGTACATAAAATATTCATGTTGAGCAATGTTCTCTGCTCAGGAAATTTTTTTAAGATAAAATTTTGTTTTTGTTAATGATTATTCACTGGCTTTTGTTTTAGCCCAAATCACTAAAGTTTGGTATAGCAAGAAAGGAGTTTCAGAAAACTGGTGGTTCCAAGTAGACCAGAAGATTGTGAACTTAAAAGTGTATAGTACATTTAATCAACAAGGTAAGTATATTTGCAATGGTTATGTGAACACAAAAGTCTACTGAATTTCTGCATGGAGAATGCTATGATTTGGATCTGAACTGGCCCTCCAAAACTCATGTGTTGAAGGCTTGGTCCCTGATGCAGCAGTGGTCACAGGAGGGACTTTTGGGAGGTGACTGGATCATAATGGCTCTAACCTCATCAGTGGGTTAACCCATTGATGCAGTTATAATCTGATGGCATTATTGGAAGGCGGTGGAAACTTTAAGATGTGGGGCCTGCTTGGAGGAAGTAGGTCACTTGGTGTGTGCCTGGAAGGGAACATCTTGTCCTGTACTTTCCTTGTTTTCTCCCTCTTCTCTCCTCCCTTCTCCTCTCTTCTCTCCTCTCCTCACCTCTTCCTCTCCCTCTCCCTCTCCGTCTCTCTCTCTTTCTCTCTCTCCTGTCCTGTCCTCCATGAGATGAGCTGCTTTGCTTTATCACATGTGTCCCACCATGATGTTCTGACTCACTATAGTCCCAGAATCAACAGAGCCAAGTGACCATGGGTTGAAATCTCTAAAACCATGAGCCAAAATAATTTTTTTCTCCTCTAAGTTGTTTTTCTCAGGACTTTTGTCGCAGTGACTGAACGCTGACTAACATAGAAGGGGCACACTACTATGCAATATTGTCTGGAAATATTTTTGCCTTTCTCATTCATTACATTAAAACATTTCTTTAGCAAATTCCTGTACACAGTCCTTTGTCTTTAAGTAGTTATATGTAGTTTGGTTTAGGTACATGCCTAGTCTTATTATTTATCTAGCAGGTACAATAGTATCTGGCTAGGGGTTGGTAGAATTGGTGTGTTAGCTTGCTCTTAATGGAATCAATACTTGAGATAATCAACTTATAAAGTGAAAAGGTTTATTTTGGCTCACATTTTTAGATATTTCAGTCCCTGATAAGTTGCCCCATTGCATTTGAGCTGCGGCAAGCCAATGCATCATGGAAGGAGCATGTGGCAGAGCAAAACTATTCACACTGCCCATGACTAGGATGCAAAAGAGAGGAAGAGACTGGGGTCCCATAATCCCCTTAAAGTGCATGTCTCCAGTGACTTAAGGATATTCCATCAGGCCTTGCTTCTTAAAAGTTCCATCTCTAGTGGAACATTGAGGAGCAATCTTTTACCATGTGGATCTTTAGGGGATAGTTATGATCCAATAGGTAGCACTTGGATTCTGTTTTCAGATTTATTATTGTAGACTGAATTATAACAAGTAGTACAATTGAAATAACATTTTAGCTCCAAAGCAGAGCTAGTCTGGTTTGTACTTATTGCCATTTGCATTTAGTTTTGATATTAACTGATTCTTGACAAATGAACTTGAGAATTCTCAGATATTTTTCCCCACTATTTTCTACAGACACATTTGGCATATCTGAATATTTCAGGAGGACAATAATGGGCTAAATATAGTATCAATAGTTGAAATCTGTTCCTAGTTGAAATTAATGCCTGCTGTGTGAACTCAATTCATCAGTCACACATACTATTCTGTACAAGGAATATATTAGTCTTCAGAGACTACTTCTTCTTTGTTTTATTTCTGAAGCTAAACCTCATGAAATGGTGTTAGTCATGCTTAGATTGCTGTAGTCTTGGCCTGGTGAGGAGAACTTTTTAGAATTCTTCAGACTGATAAATGGTCACATACATGATCTGTTGCTTAGTTCTTAGAGTTAGAAGGAGGCTTCTTATCAGTTTATTATTGGTTTTATGTGTACCACATAAATACCACTGCTCCTGGAGTATGTCACAAGGTAAAACCTCGCTAGAGATTAAACCTTAAAATACAAGCCTTAAAGAATGATGCTAAGCTATAAATGGCTGTCTTAATCAGTTTCTCAAAGGGATAATAAACACCACACATTCCATATTTTCAAATAAAAAGACTTGTTTCTAAGGCCTTTCTAGATCTTATGGCAGGTCCTTGATGTGAACAGAATTCATCAGAATTCATAATAAATTCTTGAATTAATGAGAGGTCCCCTCAATTTTTCTTAAGCCATGTTGAACTTCTAAAGTCATCCTATCTATGAAGAAGAATCACTAATTAATCAGAACCAATTTGACTAAAAGGAATTAAATTGAAGAGCTATCTAATTAGGGGAAAAAATCTGTGTCCTCTAACTATGATATTGTGTTTGAAAAAATTTTCAGATGACTCTTCTGAATCTAATTTAATTCAATATGTTTTATGGGGTGGGCATGGGGATCTACAGGTAATAATAGTTGCTCAAAAGACAATGGAGGATGCAGCCACATCTGCTTACCAAACCCCAAGGGTCAGACTTGCAAGTGTCCCCAAGGGTACTACTTGGCTGATGCAAACAAATGTATTGAAGCTGTCCAGTGCTCTGGGCCATCACAGTCCTGTGAAGATGGTCAGAAATGCATTTCCATGGAGCAAGTTTGTGATGGTCATACTGACTGTCTTGATGGATCCGATGAAATGGACTGTAAGTAATGTATACCTCATTATGCATACTGAGGACTGTGTTGCCTGTTGTCTGAAAAGGCACTCATTTAAGCTAGATTTGATTCAGTTTAAATTGATGGCATGGGAACAGCTGGGGGATGGAGGCTGGGCAAACTATCTGACCTGTTTTGGTTTCCCCCTTTTTAAAATGGAAGCAGCACTTTCTAACTCATACAGTTGCTAAGGAACACGTGAGAAGTTGTCTAAAACTGTCATGCTAGAAAGCAATACTGGCATGTTAGGACTTAAAACTAGCTGTAGATGATTGTCATTAAGTACTAGGCCAGCAGTGCCTTCATGGAAGGAATTATGTGGCCAGTCAGCTTAGTGTCTACAATATCTAATTCAGCTGTAATCACCACCTTCCAATTCTATAGCTATTGCTAGAGTAGTTTCCAAGTCTCATAAGCTATAAAACTGATGAGAGAGTTGACTCATTACTGAAAGTGGTCATAATCAGTGAAGAAAAAAATATGGAAAAGGAAAATTACAGAGCAGATTTTTCATTCAGTTCTCAATTTTAACTCATTTCATTTTAAAACCTGGCTAGCTAAGAGATCAGTTATTACCCCTAGTCACTTCATCCTAAATAGGAAGGAAAATGAATTTTGACCCCAGAGTTGATTCTGATGTCTAGCAAATGAAGAGGTTTTGTTGAAATACTTTGTTGTGGAAAGTAAAGGAAGAGGGATGGTATCAGCAAGAAGGACATTTGTCACTTTCACTCTCTGGTTTTAAAATTAAACCAGGAACCTAATATTATCTTCTCCCATTCTCACATCCCCAATGGCCTATGCTAACACAATGGCTTTCCTCCTTAATAATTAGCTTGCCCTGTTTTGGGGTGGGGAGGAGAAAGTACTAGGTTTAAAAATTGGATTGGCTTTCTCTAGATATACCCTGTCATCAAGGATCCTACACTGCCCAAGAGTGGAAACTCTCCTGTGAATCGAGCTACATTAGTCACTTTCCTGTTGCTGAGTCAAAATATCCAACTCCCTCTACATAAAGGAGGAGAGGTTTATTTTGACTCACAGTTTCAGAGGATTCAGTGTATACATGGTCACCTGGCTTCAAGGCAGAAATGGCATGGCATTAGGGCATGATGGAGGAAATTTGCTCAACTCACGGAAGCTAGATGGCAGAGAGCAAGGGGAGAAGTTAGGGACAGGAATGCACCCTTCCAGGTCATACCCTCAGAGATCCACCCCGCTAATCAGGCCCCAACTCCTAATAGCACAGGAACTCATCAATTCACCAATCCACTGATGAGTATGGTACCCCATGATCCAGTTACCTTGCTAAAACCCCAGCTATGAACACAGGAGACTTTTGGGGGACGTTTTAGATCTACAGCATAATGCCAGCTTAAGTCAGAAGCAAGAAGCCCTTTTATTGCTAATACTGTCTTCCCACCCAGTAGTTTTGTCTTTTGTGTTCACATGAGGAATAATACTTATGCCAACAATAATGAAGAGAATGGTGAAATACCTTAATCCAAACTTAGTTTGTAAATTTGTCTTTGTTTAGAAGCACCTGTTGTCTACACTTTGACATCTATATTGTCATCTTTGACATCTTCTATCACTTTCACCAAATCTGCTTTTATATCTGTAACTGGTAGATCTCGCTTAACCTACAGGTTCCTTAGCCTCACAACATTAAAAAAAATTACAGACAAACCCGCTTACATCTGAAAAATCTTTCTACTACAGATATTTATTTTGATCTACCACAGAAATCCTTACAGAACAAAGAAACTTCCTTTGTAAATTATAGGATGTATCTTGACTAAAACTTCACATGTCATTGCTTAGAAGTAGAACGGTGTGATAAATAGGATACACTGGTCCTGAATCAAATATTTCAAATGCCTTATGATATGAAGATTTTAATGCTTTAAGATTTCTTGTTCTTTTGATATGATTCTTTACTGACAGGCGCGTGTGTGTGTGTGTGTGTGTGTGTGTGTGTGCATGTGTGTGTGTACCTATACAGGTAAAACCCATTCAACAGCAACACCTAAAAGGCCAGAAGCTGGAAAGAGTTTGGCTCCAAAAGCAGCCCACACTCTCCAGACTACCAAGTCCACCACACTTGGACACCAAGGTCAAGAAGGAATGAGATATCCTGTCAGAAAAACATTAACCACTCAGAAGCCTGCTGGACCGAGCAAGAGCCCAGAAGTCAAGGAAAGAGGAGAGTCTTTTCGCCCCAAGGACTCACAGACGACAAAACACATGCCCTGCACTAGTGCTTTCTGTAATGGGAGGGGAATCTGTGCAGTGGAAGGAAAGCTGAGAAAATGCAGCTGTCTGACAGATCATGGGAGAGAGTTCTGTGAAGAGGCACAGATCTCTGTCTCTGGCTTCGTAGCCCTCAGCATAACCATGGCTTTCTCAGTGGTTCTGGTAGCTCTGGGAACACTTACATATTTCAGAAGAGAACATGAATTAAAAAGGTGAGTGGCTATTAATGCCGTCATGAAAATTCATATTCCAAAGAAGGCTTATAAAAGATTAATAGGATTGATGATATAAATCATCAATTGCTAATGTCTAGAAATTTGTCTTCTGAGGAAAAATTTAGGTAATGATGTAGACTTATCTGTTACATTACCTGGAAAAATAATAATTGAGGCTATCTTTTTTAGTGAGACCTGAGATAAACAGTCCTATATGGTGTAGGAGGCATTTATGGAGGTAAAATTGGTTGCAATGGCTGTCAGTGATAATATCTCCAGGATAAAGTCAGCAGGTTCCCTTTCAATGAGACAGTAAGGTTAGTTCCAGTTATCAGAGGAAAATTTGTTCAGAGGTATATTAGTTGGCTAGGAATTCCATAATACAGTAGCAGATACTGGGTGTCATAAACAACAGAAAGTATTTCTTCACAGTTCTGAAACTAGAAACCCAAGATCAAGGCATCAGAAGATTGGTTTCTTCTGTGGGTTCTTTCCTTGGCTTGTAGTTTGCTAATGTCTCCCTGTATCCTCCCTCTCTGTCCTAATCTCCTTTTCTTATAAAGAAATAAGTCAGTTATATTGGATTAGAACTCATTCATTTTTTAAACTTAATTACCTCCTCAAAGACTCACAGACACATTCTGAGTTCTGTGGGGTTAGCACTTCATTTGGGACACTATAGGAGGTTGCAAATTAATCCAAAAGTGGAGATAAAATAAAGAAACTCAGGAATAATTCAAAAGAAAGACATCAAGTTTTGTCCAAGAGCAAGAAAGACATTTAAAAAAAACAAGGAAGAATAGCAAAATGATGCTTCTGACAAACTAAGATATGCACTAAGAAGATACGACTGAAGAAACTAGATATACTGAGAAAGGGCTTTAAGTAGACTATGAATGACAAAATAAAGAGATTATTAAAACTTTAAAAACTGTGTCTCTGTCCTGCCTTCATAAACTAAGGAAAAGGCCAGGAGAATTAGCATGTCTACTTCCAAGGCAATGCTAGTTAATAGCTGACTGGTTAACATTGAGATGAAGTGAGATGTTACCCTTTGGCTTCTAATTATCATCTTGGGTCTTTCTGCTACATTCACCTGCTTTCTTAATTCACTGGTGTTCAGCTGCCACTTGCCTGCCCTTGAATTTAGTTTTCATTGACTTCAATCATTTGGTTTCCCTTAGTGGAGAAAAGATACCATTTTGGAAGTTGAGTCAGTGCCTACTAACAAATAATTGATAGCATTGCCCGTTCTAGGCCATTTTGCATTGTTAAAGAGAAAATTTAGATAGGGCATAGTTTCTATTACAATATAGAGGACAAGTTGTCCACTTACAAATCATACCACAATTAATATTCTGGCTCAGAGAACAACTCTTCTGACTTTGTTTTTGATTCTAGAACATCATCAAGGAATTTGGCTTGTGATAAAGAAAATAACCAAGAGGAGGAAAATCTAATGAATAGTGAGATTTTTGTCAATGAAGCCTATGATGAGCAGGTATGTTGAGGGAGACCAGGAAGACTCTCTGAAGAAAGTGGATTGTGAGGCATAGTTAAAGAATGACCTTTCTGAAAAATCCCAGCTGGGTCAAAGTCAATGTGAATTTAAAGAGATTCTTTTTATTGGTGAATGTGCACATGAAACTATAGTGTATAGCTATTGTGCTTATGAAACTATTGCTCAATAACCTTTTTGTTCTTAGATTGTAGTTTGAAGAACTAACATTAACCAAAATGAAACATGTATGAAATAGTATCAAGAAATTTAGTGTTTAGTGGACTTCCACGAGGGGCCTGGCTTTATGCTGGGGCAGGATGGGATGTTATTAAGATTACTCCGCCTGTGTTCTCTGCTAACTTCTGCATAGTTCAGTAATCTCTGCATTTTTGCTTTGTTTTAATGTAGTGTAACTCCAGCTCTCTTTAACTCTTTTCCCACAGAAATTGCTAACATCTTTACAGACAGACTGACCTTATAAAAAAGAAACTGAAATATTCCAATAAAATGTTTATATATTTTATTGTGTACTATTTAATCTTTTTAACAGTTTGTGGTAAATAGTAATCACTTATTAAAATAATTATTTTTTAAATTGGAGGAGATCATCTTTTTTAAAAAGAATATCCATGAGAATCGTCAGAGTTCAGTTCAATCTACATGTAGCTTAGGCTGTAACTCACCCACAAAAGCTGTCTAATACCAGGGTTCCTGGCCCAGTCAGAAGTTCTGGAATATTGGTTCTGATAATAACTTTGAGCTAGCTTACCCTCTGGGTCTCTTCATTTTATCAATGACAGCCCTCTCCGTGCCTCTTGGGATGAAGGCCAAGTTCCTGCAGAGTGGCAGATGTTTGGGTATTAGTTTCCTACCATTCTCTCTCTCAGGTAAATTTCACTAAGTTAGTACTTCTTTTTCCTGAGAATTTATAAAATATGTTTTTCTTATGCTCCCATTCTGAAATTAATAGAACAGATGAATATACTTTATAGATACAGAGGCTCAGACACATGATTTGTCTAAGGCTAATTTTTTTAAAAGTACGTGGATACCATAGTCAGCAACATAGAGTACGGCTGTGCACCAGGATTCATCTCAGCCAGCTCTTGCCTGCTGGGTTCAGAACATGCAGATGCTTGGACTGCTAATGCTCTGCTTATCTGCTTGCCTGCTTGTCTGCTTGCCTGCTTGTCTGCTTGTCTTGTTATTGCGGTATTCACACCGATATAGGGAATCAGAGACATTGACTGCGGTGGGAAACAGGGTAACAAAGCAGGGATATGGTCTAAAATTTCATGGTAACAACCTTGGATATACACCTGGTTCTAAATATGTGTTCCCAGTACTAAAAATTGGCATTATAAGAACCTACATTATCAGGCCAATTGAGCATGGGATGAAAATGCAAAAATGCCTATATACTGTTCAACATAGTAACTGAATGGAATAACATGAGTCTAAGTTGTAATAAACTCAGATTCATTTGGAAGACTTTTTTTTTGCTTCAATTGTTTCTAGATTTTTTTATGTAATTTAGTTTTCTGCAGAATGAGTTTATGAAGGCTTCCAAGCATGAGGAGTCCTGGGCTTTATTACTGTGGGTAATAGATAAAATAAATTGTGCTTTTCAAAGAAGTATAATAATTTTCGAGTGAAGATCAACTTGGAAAGAGCAAATATGAAGGGAGCTACTTTTCCTGAAGAGGCTGAGCTGTGTGTCTGCGGCTCAGGGACTAAGCGAACATCAAGCTGCTTCAGAAGCTCAACTGAGTCTGAGCAAAACCTCAGCACCACCGTAGCCTACCGCCTTTCTGTGCAGAGACTATCAGGTTTCTCTTGCTACCTTGCCCAAGACCCAGCCTCATAGTCAGTTTTGCTCTTGGCCAGTCTCCACTTCCCAATATACACAAAATGCATAACGCTACTCAAAAGAGTGAAGCTCAGAAGTACGTATGAATGACGTACAATGGCATTGCCACTTTTTCTGGACGGCGTGGACTTGTTGCCTTGGTCTTCCTCAGATCTTAATTAAGCTTTCTTTCTACCACGAGTCCAGGGGTTGTGTTTGTGCTAGCTCAGTTGGCTGCCACAGGCTCTGTGCTGGAATGTTACTTTCAACCTATGTTTCTACTCTGCAGGCCCCATTTCCGGTTCAGGCCCCAGAAACACCTGCTATTCCCTCTTTGTGGGAAAAAGGGAACCAACTTCATGTAGCCAAATTTCCTTGTATTTCGTGCATCACCATTTTCCCCTTCCTGTCTCTAACTGTACCTCTTCCTGTGTTGGTCTCCTATAACTATAAGCCCAAGTATTACCCCATCGAAATCTAGTTTAATCTATCCTATTATGCTGTCTCCATTAAAGAGTTTATAAAATATACTTAAAGCCTTTTCATCAGAAGACTTAATCTTATAGATACTCAAGATTCGATAGTTAACAATTTTTTATCATGCCTTATCCCTAAACTGGTTTTAGTATGTAAACTTCATAACTTTATCCACTTGTAGAAAAGGCTTATCCATTGTGACAATTTATACATTACGCATTAATTTCTTGATTTCTTTACACCTAATAAATGGAACAGTCAGCCTGTGGTTGATATAAAAACTGAATTTCCTTCTAGGAACTCAATTTCTGTAACATAATTATACATTTGGGTTTTCTTTTAGAAGAATAAGGAGCTTTAGATATGTTCATTGTTTCACGCATTAGGCAATGGAGCCCTACAAAAAACTTGACATGTTAGTTACTAGCAACTAAGATTTAAATTAAAAGCATTACATTTACTCTCTTTAGGAAACAAATGGGGGAGAGGTCATGGATAGTGAGAGCAATGTACTAAGGTTCTACTTTTTTAACCTCGGAGAGGTTTATGGAATTCAGACACAGGGAGAAATAGAATGTGGAGGTGTTTGCTCTCAGACCAACTACTAGCATTACAGGTCATCTGCTCCCAGCCTCTACTGATCAAAGTTCTTTACTTTCTTCTCAGTCTCATCCAAGTCTTATCTGTCACCTTCAGAATATTAATGTTAGTGAGGTCCTTTGGTAATATTTAGGCCAGTCTTTCCCGTGTTACATATGGGGAAACAGATCCAGGAGGAGCAAGGCCTACACCCAAGGCCTGAGTTACACAAGCAGTTGAAAAATGTAGTGACCTCCTTTAGTCTCCCTCAGCCTAGGGGTGAGAAGAAGCTCTTTGGGAGCCACTGGAATGAGTGCCGCTCATGGTGGCAGGAAAGGAGTTGGCGGGGCATTTGCCACATAGGTGACAAAGGTACTTGGTCCCTGTAAAAAGCATGCACCACCCTCTCAGGCTCTCTTGCACCTACGAGTCACACTGGTTTAGACACGGGGCTTCTGGCTCGACTCCTTGCCAGTCCATGTAATCTGAGCAGGCTAGTTGGACAAGAACTCTGCAGTGATACCTAAATCAGATCTGAAGCTGTTCTCTCCACATGCCCCACTGAAGAACCAAACCCCCTAGTCAGCATTTTCACCCCTCAAAGCTTTGTCTATATTTTCCTGGATTTGAACAAGTTAAGCCTTGTTTGCATGTTCTCAGTCCTGCTTAATGGTAGATGACTAGGAGGAGACTATTTTAATGTGTGTAGTGAGGAGACAGAGGAATGTGTAGAAAGGTTGATGGGAAGGTTGGGTAAGAATTTCAAAGAAGGTTTTATATGTAGTAATAACTGAGTCACTTATTTTCCTTCCTTCCCACACAGGGAGAAAGAGCCATCTATAGTGACTTTACCCTAAGGTCTGGGGGTTAGTTAGTCTGGGTGACATCATTTTTCTTTGTATGTGACAAGTTGAGTATAAGGATCCACTTGTGTACAGAAAAAGCTTTTGGAAGTATCTATTACAAGATAGTATGTAGCTCAGTGGTAGAGTACTTGCCTAGCATGTATGAGGCCCTGGGTTCATTGCCAAAAGTAAAAGTAACTTTATTAAATCAATAATGGGCATAAAAAGTGGTGGTATTCATTCCAGTGCTAAAAATAAATGGAAATTGTACCTTTACTTTCAATGTAGAGTTAGAACAAAAAATGCAGCAAAACTTTAAGCCACATGTAAGTGATATGTTCAAATGTAACACCTCTAAACTAATGTGGGCAGGAGGTAGTTTAGGATGTGGATATGTGCAGGAAAGTAACCAGGATAAAAACTTAGACCTTGGCCAAATTGTGAAAGTAATTGAAACTAAGAGTGGTTGATATATGAAGGAAGCTCCTGAGGTGTGATCTTCCCTTTAAAGACGGATAACAGCACTTTATTGCAGGAAAGTCAGATTAGAGATATCAGGGGGGTCTGAGGTAGAGACCCTGATTAGGAAAATTTCCAGCACTCCTGAGAGTGTGAGGAGTTGCTGAGGTTCTAGTGTCCTATCTGCCTACTGCATCGTGGAGCTGTCTGTACCTTGGCAGAAGACAACGTTCTTGAGCAGCTACTCACACATCAAATTGTTCATATTTGACCGGATTTCCTTTTAAAGAAGGTATTGGCCTAATAAAGGGTAAATGACAGGATTTTCTCGGCCCTATAAAAATGTACCACCTGATTCTTCTTGTCCTTGTCACTATATTCTAGAATGGAGTAGAAGCAACATATGTGTGGGAACTTGGAGAGTTCTGTTCCCTCTGCCTGGTACAGTCCTCTTCCCCTTCTTATAGTCTGTTCAGATCTTTTTCCTCCATCCCTTGATGCTGGCTTACTATTCTTCCTTTCATTTATACACTACCTCTCAAGCTGGAGTGCAGCAGGGCAGAGACTAAAATGGTCTTGTTTTCCATGGTCCCAACAGACATGCTAGTGAAATGTCAGGTGTCCAAACCCTTACTTGGTGAATGATCTAAGCAATGAGCAGCAGGGTAGTTGCCAAAGCAGCCTGACAGCACCTCCCACAGTCTGGGCAGTAGATCAACAGCCTATCCCTTCTTAGAGAAGGTGTGCATCCAGAGGAAAGGAAACCGGCCAATATACAATACTGGAGGGGTTAAAACATTTTTGGATCCACTTTCTCAGGTCCTTGTCCTCCAGGCAAATCTGAGTCATCTTGTAAAGATTTTATGCATTCTATGAGGAGACACACTTCCCATACTGGTTAAAGTGAGTTCTGATGGCCGCATAGGTGTGGAGAACTTGAGACCAGGTTACTCCACATCAGTACCATGTTTAGGATTCATTCTCACTCACAGAAGGACTCCTGTGACTCCATCTCCTCCAGCATCTTGGCTACTGTCAGTATGTGCTGCTGTGGCAGAGAATGACTCTCAGGCCCAAAACAAATCCCAGCGTGATGCAGGAGTCTCTTTCCACAATGTCCTGAACATTTTTAGAACAAAAAGGGATCTATATTTATTAAAGGAATTTTATTTTTCTTGATAGAGCAAAATAGATTTTTAACTTTCACTGAGCACATCTTAATGATGACAGTGTTTTGCATATAAGCCTGTGGAGAATAATTGCAGAAGGGAAAAAAGTAAAACATACAAAATACCAGTTTTGTTTTTATCAAACATTTTCTGGAAATATCTGGAACTATGATGCTGAATAGATTCAATACTTGCCAGAATCCGAGCATCTCTACATTGTTTGGTAAGTCCTGACTTCTCAGGTCCTTAGCTGAAAAGGTCAGAGCTGCCTTCCATCCATTCTGGCTCTGTTCCCCACAGCAACTTACCAAAAATGTAGATGAAGTGTCCAGCAACGCAAAGTCTGATTATGAGCCACCAGTAGGGATTACAGGTGAAGGGAGGCAGAGTCTCAGCGAAAGCCTTGCAACTACAAGTGTGGTCCACAAACCCTGGGCATTGACAGAAGCAGTGGTGGTATCTCCAGGGAGCCACTTAAGAAAAAATTTCAGGGCATCTAGACTAGTGGTGGAGAACCTATGGCATGAGTGCCGCAGCCAGATGTTTGTTGCCATTAAAAGCTCTAAAAGGTTCGCCATCAACTGCTCTAGAACTAGAGCACCAGAATCGGCATTTGAAAATAACACAAAGTGGCATACCTGCACAATAAGGTTGAGTCTCAAAATCCAGGTGACTCTACTGCAAAGTGGCAAGTGTATGGATGTCTATTACCTTGCAAGTGCATGTGCTGTTTAGTAAGCTCCAGTGTAGTTTTCTATTAGCAGTGCTTACTGCACTGAGGGTTCCCCCTTCTGAAGAGCAGGTTTTAAAGGTGAGATTCAGTCCAGTTAAAGGCACCTTTAAATCAACCACTTGGAGTAAAAACCCAGACCTCCTGGCAAGGTAGTCTCTCAGGGAGCAGAGAGCTGCCTACCTCTGACTTCAAACGCCCCTGAAAGAAGAGAAAAAGATTTCTACTCTCACCTCTGGTGAAAACTGGTGTTTCTAGTTTTTTCAACAATAGACTTGGATTTGCAGAAAACAGCAGGATCCTGAAAACAAAGCAATCAGGGATTTAAGTGGGGCCTGCTGGCTTCTTTTCTTAATCTAATGGGTAATCTAATGCAAAGGCTTACAAAGATCCCAGTGCTAAATTTCACAATAGAGCCTAGGCAGATAGAGAATTGTTAGTAGGAAATACTAAAACTCCAGAAGGTTGTGCTGGAGACAAAGACACTTTTGTGAGTAACTAAAATGGATTGTTTTAAGTTTTTATTAATAAATAAAAGATATATACATATATACTTTAACCAAATGTAACTAAGAGGCTCTATTTTGCACAAAATAGTAAATCTATATAGTCCTCTATGTCCAGGGCAAGGAATCCAAGGAATAGAGCAATAAAATTTTAATGTCTTCATTCTCCTGGTTATTGGAAGAGAAAAACTTTTGAATGACCTCACCTTTCACATCAAAATAAGTGATAAGAAAGATAAATCCTATTTATGCTGGACGAAGTACATACGAGTACTCCAGGTTATTGCATTCTGTAAGCGCCAAAAAAGTTGGTGGCATTTGCATGGCTCTCAGTTTAGGAGCCTCCTTCAAACAGAAATACACTGGCCTTTTGAGAGTTTGCATGAGAAAGGAGCAATAAAGCAGGAAAAATACAATAATTATATTGATGCAAGATTCATCGATATTTTAAAACACTGTAATTTCAAGGCGTTAAATTGCTTTTGAGCCTCTATTTGCTGATTTCAACTTTTCGTTTTTGTTACTGTCCCTGTTCAGCACGGTGCACACACTACCCTTTCTAGATCTCCTTCAGCAGGAAAATATGAAACGCCGGTTACTCTGTAAGAGGACCGGATCACTCTGGAAAAGAAAACAAAACTCCGTGAAGAGAAAACCGAACACAAGCTGAACTAAATGTCCAAGGAAGGCCACTGGGAAGGAAGATCGTGGTGAAGGGTCTCCCAGCTCAGAGCCAGGCAGTTGCAGACTGCGTCTCAGCACAGAAGTTCAAGGCTGGACAGGGCAGAGAGGGTTCCTGGTCCCCTTCAGACCCAGGCTGAGCTCAGAGCCTGTGCGGAGCAGGCAGGGGTGGGCCAGGGCATCTACAGGTCAGAGTCACAGGGCAGCGAGCTGTGGTAGGGCTGGGTGCTGCATGAGGAAGCGCTGTGGGAGGCGGCCACCTTCTCCTGTTCCCCATCGAGCACATCCACCGGGTTGGTGTAGGCCTTGGGCGGCGGCCGCGGCATGGGGAAGCCGACCCTGGGCTTGGCGGAGGCGCTGCGCACGGCAGGTGGCGGCCGGTGCTGGCCATCGCTGTAGTACTTGATGGCCGGGGTCAGTGCGGGCTCGGGCCAGTCCACGTAGACAGTGCTGATGCTGCTGCGGCGCGGGCCGTTGGGAGGCGCCTTGCGGCAGCGGTGACACCGCTCCTCGCACCAGGGTGCGAAACTGAGAGCCAGGGAGAAGCCGCCCAGCAGCAGCAAGCAGCTGGCCAGGTAGCCGAGCACCAGGCTGTAACTAACCTGCATCGTGACCGGGCTGGCCGGGCCAGGCAGGACCTCGCGATCCCCCAAGAAGTGGTTGTACCAGGAGACCGGGATGAGGCTGAAGAGGCCCGCGACGAAGAGCACGACGCCGGAGAGGCCGGCCAGCGCGAAGTGCGGCTCCTTCTGCCAGCAGCGCACGCCGAGGGTCGCCAGCAGCAGTCCCAGGCCCGTGGTGGCCAGCGACGTGACCATGAGACCGCGGGCCACGAGCACGAGGTGGGTCTCGAAGTAGCCCCACTCGTCCTGCTGGCCGCACTGGCGCTCGCGGCTGCTCTGCTCCAGACACATGTCCCACAGGCCCTGGTACAGGACGGCGTCCACCGGCTTGTTCAGGAAGCCCTTCGCCGCCCGCCAGCCCGGGGCCAGCGTGCTGATCAGGTTGAGCAGCAGCCCGCAGGGCGTGAACACCATGCCCACCGTCATAACCACGGGCGTCCGCATCCCGAGCTCCCGCCGCGCCGCGCCGCAACGGCCGCCTGCTCCTCCGACGCACCCGGCTCCCCGCGGCCAGGCTGGGACGCGGCGCTGCGCCCTGCTCCCTGCGGCCCTCTTTGCCTCCTGCGCGGGACCCGCCCCACTCGCCACTAGTGCCCTCCTCGAGTCCGGGCCGCCCCGCCCTCCGCTGGCTGTCCCTAATCGAAACCAGAGCCTGGGCGGGTCTAACCGAAACCGCCAGCCAGGGGCCGGGTCCAGCGGCCAAGCCCAGCCCGCGTGGGAGGGGCGCGAGGGCAGAGCACTCAGCGGCGGGGCCACCTCGAGCTGGCATTCGGGGAGGAGCGGACACCGCACCCGCTCGGGCCACCTGGCGCGGACAGTCCCGGGACCCTGCAGAGGTCGCCCCTCCCCTGGCTCCTGGCGCTGTCCAGTGGGGCTCAGGTGGCTGTGGGCGGGGAAGGAAAGAGACGGTGCCACCGGGTTCCACCCCACCCACCTCCCTTGCTGTGCAGTTTCGCGTATTTCGACAGGTCTCGGTTCGGAAAGCTTTTCTCTGGCCTGGCCCGTAGAGCCTGCGAGGTAGCCTCTCCCTTCTTCGCAGCCAGTGTCCGACTCCTCTAGAAGAGTTCTCGGCTTTGCACCCCGTGCGGGGAAGCATGGATCGGTGCGTACCTGGGTCTCCCAGGTGGAGAAGCTGGCTCCCAAATGCTGCATTCCTTTAAGTTGTTTACTAAGCGTTGTTTGATTTGTTTAATAAGCGCCCTGAGCTCCTACTGAGCTTAACTCATAAGAATCACTGTGAGTGTACTTCCAGGTTGAGGAGTTACTTACAAAAGATTTTGTTTTTCCAGTTTGCAAAAGACTTTAAAGTGGAAATAAAAAGTGAGGGCTGGGGCGTGTTACTGGGTGTCCGGTTTCGCACACTTTGCATATTTATCTAAGTTTGTAGGGTCCAGTGGCCTTTCATGGGCTTTAGGCTGTTTTACTGCTTTGAATTGTAGAAAACCTGTACTATTGCTAATGAGTTTTGTCCATGGAAATATAAATGAGGTCGCCCCAGTGGAATATAATTAATTATTTCCCAACGGATATGGTCTAGTTTGACACTGGTTTGTAAATCCATTTTAACACTCCAGTATGGATTCTTTGCATTCTCCTTTGAACTGATTAACACCACACTGTTTTGCTGATTAAAACATGAGTGGAAATAATTGGTATTAGTTTTCTATTTGGCAGTCCTGGTTTTTACTTTAAAAATTATTGTTTAACATTTTTTGTATTTTTCATATTTCTTATAATGGAAATGTATTACCTTTAAAATTGTTAGAATTAAAACTATTTCTAAAGGTGAAACTTAGCTAAATTGTACTAAAATACACATTTCATAAAACTTACTATCTTTAAAATGAGTTTACAAACCAGTGTCAAACTAAATCATATCCGTTCGGAAATAATCAATTATATTCCACTGGAGTGACTTCATTTATATTTCCACGGACAAAACTCATTTGCAATAGTACAGGTTTTCTACAATTCAGAGTTGTAAAACATCCTGAAGCCCACTCTGTAAGAGCAGCTACCTGATTTTACATTCCCACCAAGGGTTCACTAATGTTCCAGTTTCTCTATCTTTGTTTTAAATGGTTCTTCAGAGAATCCTATTTCTTTTCAAAGTACTTTTTAAATAATTTTTGATCTTTATTTTAATGCAAAAAATGAGAATGGGAATGATGATGTTTTCCTGTGTTTTTACCCAGGCATTTTCAGAGAGAACAGAAGACGAGGAGGTACACAGTTAGTAGTAATGTTGGATGCCTGTAGTTTTACTTCAAGACACATCCACACAGGCCATATATGAATTGCTACCCTTTAGGAGTTGTTTGCTCTCAATACATTTAGCTGCTCCACAGTGATGATCTGACATTTCAAAAACTCTAATCACGAAGTGTGCCTCCAAGGGCAGCATCTACAGGCTTTGGTCATTTCTGTCTCCAATCAGGACCAGAGAACTTCAGAGCTAACATAATACCTGTAACTAATACTTTTTTTTTTTTTAACTGAATTGCTGCCTAAGATTTGTGGATTGGCTAATAGTACCAACAAAGCTTTCTTGCTTCTCTAGGAACAGAATGTTAAAATCGAGACAGCCCAGTAATAATACCTGGAAGAATGTGTGTTTAGAGCCCAACTCAGAGGAGTCCTCCCCTCCTGACCCCAGCCAGGGGGCTAGCTAGTCCTCCTGTGGGCATGTTACCTCTGGAGAACACTCCTGACTAGTGCTGTTGGAGCACCTCATGGATACAGGACTGGGACTTCATCAAATTTAGACACATTAAATTTGTGTCTGCTTATAAATAAATGAAAAACTATACCATGAAACTTTGAGACTAAGTTTTAGAAAGTACTGTTTTGACAGGGCAAGGCAAGGAACACTTCCAGGGGGAGGAACACTCTCAATAAAGCAGTGTCATCATTATGGGTGTTCTTGGCAGGACGAATCGGAAGATGCTTTTTACAATCTCTTATTTGCATATGGGCACAACCAATCAAAAGGTGCTGTTCCCGACCCTTTCTTTACAGATGGCAGGAAGCCAAGGGCACTTTCCCTGTAGGACAGTTTACACAGGGCATAAAGCCAAGTGAGTGTTTGACAGGACAACTGCCCCAGTGCCTTATTTATAGGAGAGGGAAATAACTTGGAATTTTGTGTACAAAGACCTCTTCCTGTTATTCTCAGGGCTGCTGTGAGATTTTTTTGACAGCCCATTCTCACTCTGTAGAGAATACTTCTTTTCCACCTACAACAAATATACACTTTCACTACCTTTTCTGTGTGTTTTGTTCCATTCTTTGTTTGTAGCCTCAGGAACCTGGAAAGAAGCCCCATGGGGACTCTTCATCTGGTAACAGAGACACCAGACAGGGCCCTACCAGGCCCCCCAAAGAGGGGATGGGGGTGTTAACTCCCTCCTTCTCATGCTTTAACCCAAGGAAAAGGAATTTTCCTCCTCTTTCCAAAGCATTGCTTTCCCTTGTGTCTAGACCTTTGCATAGACCCTTTTCATTTCCTTGCGTCTTTCCTGCCACTTTCCTCTGTTTCCATTTAGCATGAATTCTTGCTTTTGATACATTGGAAATTAAAACTAAAGCACAAATTTCCAGGAGAAGCTTTCATTTGAAGGATAGAGGGAAGACAGTAAAGGACTCCTGCTTAGGTAGCTGGAGGGGACCCACTGTGCTACAAGGGTTCAGACTGTTTCATCCACAAAGCCAGGAGGACAGCTTTTAAGGGTTGGCTGGTGGGCTGGGCCAGGTTGATCATTATTTCAATCCTGTCCTGTTGGTCATAGCTCTGGAATCTTTATGGCTGAAGAATGGTTTTATTTCCAGGGCAGGAATGTTTCTGTTTGTGATGGTCTCAGTTGTGTGGGACTCCACTTTTCCTGCAATCCAGGTGATTGCAGGTTTGGGACAATGGCTGGAGGCTTCTAGGTATAGCTGAATGTCCCTGGAAAACCCCCATCGTGCTGTTTTCAATCTTGAATGGGGGTGAAAAATATGCAAATTCAGGGCTAATAAACCATGTTTTGCCAACTTTTAAACAGACACTCCACAAATGTTCAACATGTCCATTTGCAGGGCTCAGAAGACATTTGACCCAAGATTTATAATAACAAAGGATACAAAATGAACTTTATTCTTTTAGTTACCTACCAGGCATCTGTAAGAGACATGAGTCATAGCAAAAATGGCTTTTTAAGTCCCTGGCTATCCCAGAAGAACACATAAATCGTGGTTTTAATAAGCAGCAGGCAAGGACCCAGGGTCTGTCTGTTCTCCATTCCCACAGTGGTCCCTGACTGGCTTATGACTGTATCACCATCTCACAGAGAGATGGTATCTTCATCTGGTTCCTATTTTGTGCTTCCAAAATCCCTTTTCTGACATAACACTCATTATAATTCCTTATAACTCAAAATCATCTTGTTTTCTAGTCAATCTGAGGGAAGGAACTTTGTTCTGTTCTATCTCCCAACCTTTTTTAGTGCCTGGCCCACTCAAGAAATCACTCATCACTTTCTGCCCTGTGTTCTTCCATATGGTATCGACAGAACCCTCTGACAGATGGCTGCCCGGTCAAAATAGACTATTATGTGTGTCTCCACGGCAAGTTTTGTTTTTGAATATTTGTATTTCATCAGCATAGAAAATAGTAAGGTATAGAATAGGTCTAGAAATTTATGACAAAGAAGTGTAGGCCCATGGGATCTCCTGTGGCAATGCTCTAAGCACAACATTGATTTTAGAGACAAACTCTTTGTTCCATGGGCTCCTGAGTTCATTGTCAGGCTGAGTGAGAGACAAAGCATGAGTTGCAGTGTGGCAGGAATAAATTATTGCTGAGATTAGTAACCAAGTAAGCTGATCTGTAGACCTGTAATAGCTTTCTTTTCTGAAGAGGGCCCCTGTGGTAACGCAAGAATCTGTTGACTGCCTGAAATGGATTGTGGGCCCCTAGTGACTAATTCTGAAGACAGATGGGGTCCCCTATCAGTCTGCACCGGCTGTATCTTTGCTGTTGCCTCACACAAAGTTGCAAATTTCTGTAATGACTTCATCCTGCAAAATCACATGCGAACTGTAGCAGGTCAAGAGGGGGCCACCTGGTCAGTCTGCTGTTCAGAGGTGTCCTCAGTCTCTGTTCCACGTCTTCATATTTTACTGCCTCTGGAGAATAAGGGCCTGAACACCATCACTAGCCTCCCATCCATGGTAAAACAGTATGTTATTGAATAAGAATTAAACTATGAAACAAATTAAACTCTGATGTTATCAAAACAGCCTGAATCCATTGATGGCCCTTCAACATAATATTAGCTTTCTGTCTTGGCATATGGCTGGTTAGCTGCTTTTTAGCTATGTGTGTCTGATATTGTAGAAAATAAATACTCTTGACACTCAATGAAAAATAGCTCCCAAGTGGTTCAGTGTCACATCACTCTGTTTTCTTTTAACATCTATCATGACAAAATATTTTCTTATTATTTATTGACTTGTTTGTATTCTGTTTCTCCTTCTGCATTGTAAGTCCCCCAAACTAGGGACATGCTGGTTTTGCTTATGGTTATCTTTCAGCTCCTAGAATAGTGCCTAGCTCGTGATAGATGTATTTGTTAAATAAACAAAAGATGTTTTGTAAAATTCTTCCATAACACAAAACAAGATATAGCATAGATCATTTAAAAATTGTAACAAAATACATATGACAAAATTTACCATTTTGACCATTTTAAGGATATAGTTCAGTAACGTTACGTTCATTCATATTGTTGAGCAAGCCAATCTCTGGAACTCTTTGTGTCTTACAAAACTACAAATCTACACACCCTTTAATTAACTCTCGATCTTTGCCCTCCTCTAACAGCTGATAACTACCATTTTACTTTCTGTCTCTACAAATTTGACTATTTTCGGTATTTCATATTACCATTATTATGTATTTGTCCTTTTGTGACTGGCTTATTTAATTTAAAATGATATCTTCAAGGATCATTCATTTTATGGCATATTGCAGGATTTCCTTCCTTTTAAGGTCAAATTGTATTCCATCCTATGCCACATTTTGTTTATCCATTCATTTATCAAGGGACACTTGTGTTGCTTCTACCATTTCACTATTGTGAATAGTAATGCTGTGATAGTATATATCATTTTTTCTTATTTCATTTTAAATGAGGTAATTGGTCATTTAAGCACCAATGTATTTGTTATCCCATACATAT